CCATTTCAGACTGGAACACGGACAGCAGAATAATACTTTTCTAAAGGATTGTGTGAAAACGGGAGGTGCATTTTTCTCACAGAGTAAATGGTGACTTCTTCTCTCTTTACAGGTTAGTGGGTGGAAAATCCACCTGTGAGACCCGTGCTGATTAGTTGCTGAATTAGGCATGGGAGGCGTAACCACAAGCAGGGTAAGCCTTTAACGCTCTTCATACAGAAAGATCTTGTTTCGCAGACATGTTCCTACAGCAACCCAGAAGGGACAAAAACCAAACAAACACTGGTTTTATGAAGAGCCTTTAACATTGTTTACAAAACCAGCCGCCTTCATATTCACCTCTAGATGAGGAAAGCCTCTTAAAACAAATAATACATTCTTTATTAAAAGTAGCACTGAAAATTAAAATTCACATTAAATTTGAGAAATGTGAGAAAACCATTTTTGGAAATATTTTTATCAATATTGGACATTTCACATGTCTGTAGCACAGCGAGACCTTTGACCTTTTTCTAATTTTCCTTTAGATTTAACCACTCCACTGTTGATTTGATCATTTGTTTTGGATCTTTATCCTACTAAAAGACCCAATTACCTTTACATTTTCCTGGCCTTTCAAAGAAAAACACCCAAACAATAAGTATACGATTATCTTTTTATTTTTTTGTTCATTTTTATCCTTTCTTTCATGCCAAAACCACCCAGAGTGTTTGCTGCTGAAAGAAATCTTAGCTTTATCTGACCAAAGCACACAGTTCTAGTTAAGTCCCGGTGGAGATAAGCTAACTGTACATTTATGTTTGTGATGGTAGGACAGATAAGGCTTTTTTCAGCTGTTAAAATGTCAGAACAAATATGCCACTTTGCCATTTTTTTGAATCATAGTCTAGCCTTGAAGAAACGGGCTAGCGTGTTACGTCATATTTTTACCCCAGAGAAACAGAAACTCATGAAGCACCAAGTAGTTCCTGGAAACTCTCAACTTTAATAGTTTAATTTAATTTAAAATTTGATACCAATATTTGCATTGCTTGTGATTATATACTGTTGAAACCAGATGTTTGCAAACACTGATTAAAAATGAATGTAAATGTTTGAATTTGAGGAAGTTAAAAAAAAAGAGTTCTCAGCAAGTTTTCTGGCTTTAAACAAATAGAAATAATTTGGGTAATTTTAGATGTGACTCAACTTCAGACAATGAGGAAAACAAATGATTGTATGTTTATGGTGTGTAAATACAATTATTGTTTGCACCACCATAAGTGACATTCTGGCAATCTGAAGTTTTATTTTATTTTTTTAAATAAAAGCATTTAAGATCATTTCTGTGTAAATAATGAACAGAAATTCATCCCAAACTGAAACGGTGTACAGTGTTGGCTTTTTATTCTTCTGGAGGTCAACAAAGGTCAACTTGCATACACATAAAAAGTTGAGGACCATCAGACGGCTTGTTTGGAGTGTTTGAATGACATCATGTCGATTTACAGAAAATGCAAACCACTTAAATACAGTTAAAATATTATACAGCAAAGGTCAATAAATTATCCACAGGGTGAGTTAAATAGATCGATTTACAACCTTCAGTGCAACATGGCATTATGTTAAAGCATTTTCACTTTTTAGTCATTAAACTTCTACATTTTTCCAACATTATTTCCTTTCAGCAGCAATTTTCCATAATAAATACAGCAGATAACATTTCAGGATTACTTAATTCTCAAAGGAGCTAAAAAGTGAAAATATTTTACCAAAATGAGATATCACCTTTATCAACGCTTCAATCAACTTCAAGAGCAGTTAAAACTGATTTTTACAACAATAAAAGCTACAGTGTTTGAACAATGACTGCAATGTGGAGAATAAAAAAACAAACAAAAGGCACAGAAATAAAAAAGCAGGATGTTGCAGCAAATGGTCAGTAAATTCCTAAAACGTTTCCTCATTAAAAACCCAAATATCTGATTATTTGTATCATAGGTTGAGAATGGTACGACTTGATTTCCAGATGATTTCAACGAACCAGGTGACCTTCAGAATAAAGCGACTCTCTTGGATTACAGAAATGCCCCAACAATAAAATCCTCCATCATAGAATCATGCACTTTAATCGTTCCACCTGCAGCATGTCTGTATTAACAGATTTAAAGTTTTCAGGGGAATCTATGTTCAACAAGCAGAAACTTCACCAGTAGTAAGAGACGCTATCGTAGTTAGAAAACAACGGACTCAAGCAGCAGCTTCACTGTGATTACAGTACGTTTACACTGGAGCACAGATCTATTTAATCTGAAATGCATAATGTGGATGTTTGTTGATTAGCTGACAGAGAATAAAGAGCAGAAAGACTGAAGTGCTAATGGAAGCCAATAAAATACAGAAACAAGGAAATATTACGTTACTTTATCTAAATTCAGCCTGTCAAAACACACAACTGCATGCCAATAAAATCCAAAATAGATAAAAAGTTCAGTTATTTCAGAAAACCATTTCAAAATGTTTAACGGATTCATCTCAAGACTTTGACTTTAATTTTAAGAATTATGGCTCATAACTAATGAAAATCCAAATAGTTTCTCAGAAAATTATAATATTACACAAGACGAATAAAAGAGCCAATCAGTTGTTGAGACAACAACATGTCTTTGCAAAATTAGTCATCTAAGAGTTCAGCGAATTAGCTAAAAGTTGGACGGAAGAAAAAAATGTCAAAGAAAGAGGTGACACTCTACCAAACAAACCAAAACCGAGTTTAAAGCTTCAGTAAGTATAAAAATTTATTTCTTTAGATATTTGTTGAAACTTTCACTATATCCTGACAGATTATGAAACAGATAATCTGTGAAAAAAAATGGATGAAATTAAAAAATCAAATTCCTCTGGCTCCCTCTTGTGGTATTACTGCAATTTGGAGAAATACAAAACTCAGAAAAAAAAATCCAACCAGAGACAGGAGGAGGGTCTTTGGAGTGTCAATCAGGCTCGTGTACACGCCACTCAAAACTGCTGGTGTGATAATTAACAAACCAACATTACAGAAAAGCTGCTAATTTCTCACACAGTGATCACCTTCACACATTGATGCAGAAACTTCACTGGCTTATGCAATTTTCTGAGAAACTGTTAGGATTTCATCAGCTTGAAGCAACAATCTTAAAAACCAAAGTTTTACTTTTTGAATCAATTAAGTGAAATTTATAAACCTCTTGATTTTTCTAATTTGCTAAGATGCTTCATCTCGAGTGTGATTCTTACAGAAGATAATCCCGGAAGCAGCTCGACGTTTAGGACGCCAAGTGGCTTTTTTCTTAACGAAGCTGCAGCCAGCTGCGTTTCCATCAAACATAAAAAATATGCAAATCAAAAGCCAATTTGGGAAAAACTCGATAAAGTTTTTGCGAGTTCACAAAGCTGCAACGGAAAGACTGATATTTGCATCACACGATCGACAACCGGATGTTACTACTGACAGAAACAACAAAGACGACGACAGGAAATAGGAGGAAGATGATGTTTGTTTTTGGTTTTCTTGGCTCCACCAGATCTCTCACAGCGTCGCACAGCTTATAAAAAGCTTCATCATTTGAAAATGTTAACTCCATAACTCTTCGGTAAAATTGCAAAAGTTTTGCTGCACACGTAGCCGCTGCCTAGCAGAGGTTTGTCGCTCTAGCGGCTCCAGTGAGCGCTACTGGCAGGATTTTGAATGACTTATTGCGTGAACAAACTTATTCATGTGTGTGACGGAAACACCACAATCACAAAATTCTATTTATTCCAGGCGGTGATGTTAATTCAATAAATTAAAAGTATTTTCTCTTCCACAGGGTCTTTGCGACCAAGGCATTCACCAAATGGTCCATCTTATGTGACTTCCACGGTAAAGTCTGGCCGGGTCCCTGAAGGGAGGAGAAGGATCAGATATTTACTTTTTCCAAGTATGGGGAGAAGGAACTCTGCATAAACTCTCGGGTCCACCCATTGGAATGTCACCCACAGCTGGCAACCTTTGGCCAAATGATAAAAAATTCTTCCAAGAACTTTAATGTCAAATGTGTGTTGGCAGAGTTCCCCGGCCTCGCCGACCCGCCTCGCCAGGCGAGACATCAGGACGGGAGAGGAGATCTACATGTACCGTGGGGTGAGGAAGCAACCGTTTGAGGGGGGAGACCAGGGGATGATATCGGCTGGATGAGAGCTCGGCTCACCTCCCTCTCTTTAAAAAAGTTTACAAAGTAAAAATTCAAGATTTGCGCACATTTGTAATGGAAACGCAGCTAGCGTTGAACCAAAAGTCAGGCAGGAAATAGGCACCAGTCTGCATAGTTTGTAAAGTAAGACCTCCACTGAAGACTTCCCAAACTGTCGATCTGAATATTTATGGTTCTGACCTGAGGCGGTGACGTTATGGCTGATCTATTTCCACATAAAACAACTTTTTTTTTTTCCTGACCTCTAGTTAAAGGGTGTAGCTGACAGGCAAGGAAAGTCAGAAGTTAAAAAAAGACAGGTAGGAGTTAAACGACAACAGCAAGCTCCATTTCGATCATTCTAGACGAGCTCAGGGTTTCCCACAGTGCTTTATAAGCCTGGCGGGCCACCAGGCTTTACATGTGTCCCCACCAGGCTAAGCATTGCTTATTTATTTAAGTTTTTTTAATGTTTGCATTTTTTAAGACTTTATAGTTGGTGTTCAGGTATTAATCTTCCAATCTCTCAATAGCACATAATTATCAAGTGATATTTTCAAATTTCCTGTCAACTTTAACACATTTTTCACTCAAAAACACGACGTGCTGCTGGATGAATGACTGCCGTAGCACCAAACCAACGGGCTTAGCAAGTTTTCTGGAGGAAACCCTGGAGCTAAAGGCTTTCCGATGCTAAAGAACCCCAAACAGGCCGGACAAGGTTGCCAGGTTGAAGGCAAGAGGGTGTGAGGACGTCAACGCCTCCAGAGAACAGATCACAGCCTTGAATCTGAGACAGAGGATAGCAAATACTGTACAAGAAAGGTTCTGTTTATGGAATAAATACTGTCGATGGTTCACCACAATATACTGCGTTGAAAAAGACAAAACAGACACAATCAGAGGAGAGAGAAAAATGAGCTGCAGGTTAGGCTCTTCATCCTCCTCCGGGATGCATGCAGGTTTCTCCACACCAAGAGGCTGGGATGGAAGATTTTCTGTCTTTTTTTATCTTTTCAGATTTTTTTTCACTCCATGGAGGAGAGGGATTAATGCTGCGTCATATCTGGGATGGACAGGATGTCTCAGGTCAAGCAGGGAGGATGGAGGAATTAGCCGAGTGGAGGGGAAGTCACAAGATGAAGACTGGTCCTTATGGAGCAGAGGGGTTTTAGAGTGATGGTGGGAGTGTTTCAGCGCTACGGAAACAGGGGGAGACAGAGACAAAACAAAAACATTAAGTTCAACTTAATCAGAAAGAAAAGAACTGATAATATGAGAATGAATGATAATGACAAGCAGATATCTTACAGTTACTCGCAAAATCATTCTTACAACTTCCACGTTTGGTTACAACCACAAACTTTAATGTATTTTTATTAAGACTTTATGTGAAAAACAACTAAAACTGAAGCATAAAGATAGAAATTGATCACTTTCATTCCAGCTCTACATATAGAAACCTAAAAAAAATGGTCTTGCATTTGTATTCATGCTTGAACAATAAAGCCTCCAGTCACTAGGGGGCAGCAGCGCTCAGACAACATGTTCAGTCCAGTAGAAGAAGGAGCCTCCACCGGCACACCGGTGTACAGAGCTGATTGAGACGAGATACAGAAGTCTGTGGAAGTAAAAAGAAAAATGTCGCAGCCAATTTGGCACAAAAAGTTGTTAAAAAGTTCTATACCTTTTGAAATGGAATAAGTTGATGAAGCTAACAAATAACCAATATTTACAGTTTTTATTTTAAATGAATGTTACTCTTTAATCTAAAAATCCACAACCCATTTGCAACGTTTCTTGAGAATCAAAGTCTGAAGTGTCTTAAACAGTGTGAACTGAGTTTATAAATGGAAATTGTCGCTTTGAAAGACTAGCAACAAATTTAAGTTGCTACAGCTAATTTTTATACGAATCTGCATTGATTGTAAACAGGATGTTGGTGCCAGTAGAAAGAAATACTCTTAATTCTCAACAGGATTTAAATTTGGGGAAAGCCATGAATTTCTTCTTGCAACTCCATCCATAAAGATCTGCAGTTCACTGCGAGTCACGTAGAAATGTTACAGAAGAATAGCAGGAAATTGCAATACATGAAGCAAAACTAATATTGCAAATCACCCTGAAAAATAAAAAAGCCTCTCTGTAAAATATGTCGAAGTATTGGTCATTTTGTGGGGTGAAAACTGTAGTTCCTTGATATATTTTGCAAATAACAGACAAAAATTTCAGCCTTTTGATGCATAAAGCCTAAATTTGTAGAAATGAGTTAAGAATAGAGTCCCAATAAAACACATAGAGGTTAGTGGTTGTAATTTGACAAAATGTGGAAAAGTTCAAGTGGTATGAAAACTTTTACGAGTCACTACAAGCCATGCAACAATCAGCAATAAACCAATTAAACCTACAAATCTCTTGGCAAAACACACAAAGGTTAAAAAAACCAGAATGCATACAAAGCAGCTTATTCAACATCTCATATTTATAATACTTTCTAATCATAAGCTGCTAGTTTTTCTTGCGAGAGCCTTTAGAATGAGAGCTCCGGGCCCTGGAAGATGCAGCCTGACTTTTATTACCACAGTTCCTGTTGACAGCACTGTGTGATTCCTCTGTGCTTCTATTTACGGCGGTGGAGGATCTGCCTCTAGACTCTCTGCAGACTCCGCTCATCCTGGGCTTACCAGGCGGGTTGTGAGCAGACAGAGCCGCCACTGTTTGGGCCGCTGAGTATCTGGAGTTTGGCTGTGAATGAACCGACTCTGACGGCAACGAGTAGCTGCTAGCAGCTGCTCCTTGCACGGATTTAGACCTGCTCTGCTTCTTCCTCACAGAGGCGTCCAGGCGTGTTTTTGGGTCAGGGTTTTGCCGGCTTTCGCCCCATGCTTTAGCTGTGTTAGGATACACACGCGAAGCTTTAGAAGAGGTTAGATCATCGGCGTGTGAAGAGGAAGCAGACTTGTGCCTGCTGGAAGAGGAAGAAGCAATGTGAGTTTTGATGAAAGTGTCCTGGCGCACAGGGACCGAAGCTCTCCGGCCGGACGCAGCCCTTCGTCTATCACTCGTACTGACTGTTAAGTCACTGCTCAAAGAACTGGTGGAGTCTTTACGAGGCAGAGAACGTCTATGACTCACCTCCGTATTAAAAACATCACTGATACTACGACTTCTAATGAAGGTGGCATCTCTTGGGAGACCCCGGCCACCGTGGGACCGGCTGCTTGTGTGAAAGCTGTTGTCGGAAGAAAGAGAAGAGGAGGTTCTTACAGGGCTTGTGTGGAGACTTCGGGTTAGAGCTCGCAAGTGGTGGGTGGCCGAGGCGGGGACGCTGCTGCCGAGGACGGGGCTGGCCCGCGGACTGCTCCTCAGCTGGGGCCTGCCGGGGCTGCTGCGGGGGCTGCGGGAGGCCCGGCCCGACTTGGCGGCCAGCTCTTTGGCCCGGGAGCGCCGGGGGCTGCTGTTCAGGCTGCGGGGGGCCTGAGGAGCCTCCAGGTCCTCCAGGCGCTGAGTGAGGGCCAGTTTCTGCTGGATGGCCATGCGCAGGAGGGAGTTAAGAGTCTTCTTCTCGTCCTCTGCAGCGGCAAGCTGCCTCTGCATCTCGTCCAGCTGGGTGACGTACTGATCGCACCTGGAAGACGTGGACAGGGTCAACATGCAGCATGCGCAAACAGGCAGGCAGGAGCTCATCAAAAGGCACATATAAACAGTCAGGTTAGAGACAGAGTGAGTCTGTTAGGGCAAACGCCAACTAACACCGCAAATAAGACGACTTTTAGAATCTGAAACGTTGCTAATTATGTTGGAGAACTGAAACAACTTTTGCTGCGCTCAGACTAAATCTGATTAGAGCGTCGAGGAGCATTTCCAACAGAAAATACTGCAGATGGAAAATCTGAACTTTTGCAGACGAACGTAGAGCGACAGCCAATCTGAGACTTCGCTCTGCAGAAGAATGCAATTGTGTGAAAAAAAAATTTCTAACTGGATTGTTTGACACAGACAAAACAAAAGAAAAAAAAGAAAAAGAGGTTTTGATCACTTCAGGATCAAAACCTGAGGTGAGAATTTAAATTAATAAATCCACAATTATAAAACCTATGATGCTGCATATGTTCATCACCATCTTTAACAGCATTTTGTTGAGTTTTAGAGCCAGAGACAAAACAAAACGAAGTATGAAGGTGAGTGGAGCGAGTCGTCCACGTGCAGTTCCAGCATCCCTCCACATGGTGGCACTACTAACTTAAACTTGAACCATAACCTTTTCCAAAGCTGTAATCTGTTGGATCAGACTTCAGCTGGCCTTGATTACTGTCTGTTCTTGAATCCTTCTTAAGGACAATCAAGTAGCAGCTCATAAATGTCTGCAAACGGACCAGACAGGCTGATACTCGTCCAGGAACCTCTGAGCCGTTTAACACCTGCTACATCAGTAAAAATAAATAAATCTGAGAATTAGGCATTTTTCTAGTTTATTGCATTGGTATAATCACTGCTTTCAAATCGAGCAGAGCAGTTCAGTGAGGGAGAGTTTGGTGATCTTGGTTCTGTTGAGTTTTACTCGTTTCGTGCAAACGTTCGGACCTCTTCCTCCCCAACATGACCCGCCTGAACCGGACAAATCGGTTTCCCCGCACAAGGCTGAGCATGTGGCTTATAATCTTCACGTGAAGCCGTGGATCGTGCACGGGTGTAATAAGAACGGTAAGCTCATTACCCACTAACGAGGGCTTTTACAAAGCATTTAGTCCTAGAAAAGACTTGTACAAATATTTTTTTCAGGTTTCAGATAACAGAAATAAAAACCTTACCGGCTGGCAAACATGACTCTGAGAGACGAGAAGGTGGCAGCGTCCTCCTTCAGGGCTTTGAGCTCATTCCTCAGTTTCATCATGGTCTCTGACACCATGCTCTTCTCCGTCTCGTACTTGGTTTTCAGATTAGACAAGGCCAACTCCGCCGTCTGCAACGACAAAAACAAAAACCACCTCAATATCAAACATTTAAACAAGGTTTGTGCACCTTTCTCAGTAAAATTCAAGTTTTCAAACTTTTCCAGCACCAACTTTAAAGTTATAAACAAATGAGCTAAACCGTCTCAATTCAACATATATATTATTTATTAATGTTAATATTTTGTGATGGTACTCTACAGCATAATTATAACTAAATTTTATGTTTTGAAGTATCTCACACATACCCCAAATACCAGACTGACCCGAGAACAAAACAAAAAAATCCCCCAATTTTAATAACTTTGTTTAACCTATAAAATATAACCAATGTCAATTATAGGGATCAATAAGTCACTGAGCTATTAAGAATAATAGATATTCATTATGTTGATACAATCGAAACAAATCACCTTATGGTAAATTACCTTCTTGCTCAAATTAAATGCTTAAACTCAAAGTTACAACAAAATTTCCAAAAATGCTCCCAACTTTTCTGGCATTTAGCAAATAGAAATAATTTTGGTCATTCTAACCAACTTAAAACAAGAAAAGTTTAGTCTGATTTAACTTCACACGGTCACAAAATAAAAATGTCTTTATTGGCTGTATAAAAATATCTGGTTTTAACTTTAATGTTTTCAAAGTTTAGGTTTTTGATCAAACCGATTACATTTATTACCGTGCAGTTTGGTCACCAAACACTTTCAAGGACTTTTAACAATAAACAAGCACTTTGCTAATGTTGAAAATACCGAATTGAAAAGCAGCTGTACGAACCTTAAAGTAAGAAGCTTTTAATGGTTTCATTCAAACATTTTAAAAAAAGTGATTTAAAAAAAAAAAGAATGCAACAACAATATTTGCTTTTCTGAGACTTTACCAACAAAGCAGTGGTGCATTTCTATAACAGTGTGTTCTGGGCATCAACACAGAAAAAGCTTTTTATTTGAGTTATTTGGTAGAAGCTCTGCGAAAAAAACAGCTACCAACTGAAGCAAACAAATATAAAAAATAACGAAAAATATAAACGACCAAACCAACTTAAGCGACTGACTGCTGCAGTTCAGACTAAAAATAAATGAACGCCGTTTGATTGACATCAGGAAAAGCAGCGGGTCGCTTCTTCAAACAGAACATTTAGGCGTTCTGTTGGTACCAGGATAACAGGACATGAGGACTGTACAGCCCTTGATGATGCTAAGCTAAGCAGGAATCTGCATCACTCCAGTGATAGTAAAGCCAAACCAAATCTAATGCAGTATTATAAATATTTTATTACAGACGAACCGGAGTCCTGAGCCCAGTCTGTCCCAGTAACAGCATCATCAGTTTAACAGTGTGACGTGCAAATACACATGGAATACATCAAAAACGTCACCTGGAGACTGTTTGGAGGAATGAGAGAAACGGCAGAAGTAGGTCAGATGAGATAAACGAGTGGAGGAGAAAGCAGGCTTACGATCTGGAAAGTCTAAAAATCATTCAGGAAAAGGGAAACTCACTGGCCCCTTTATTAGGTACACCTGAAGATCACGATATAAACATTAGCCAATCAGATGGCAGCAACTCAGTGCATCCAACATGGTGAAGTGGGGAGATATGGCTTATTATGCTTCCCGGAAGCATAATATTATGATTATGATACGTCTTTCTCAAACGTATCTGCGTAACAACTGTGACGTTAGCTCAAAGTGTGATGCTACAGTTAGCTTACCAAAGGATTGCGTTTAAAAATAATAATGGATAAATGACTGAAGACCGAGTCACTAAAAAGAAAGCCTGAAGATTATGGAGGAAAGTTTCTCAGGATGAGTTGCAGAACTTTTGTTTTTTAACACTTTTATGATGCACAGCATCGAGGCGGTGAGCAGCGCTGCGCCCCACGCTGACTAACTGCATCTTAACACCTAAAAATAACAATATTTATGCTCGGTTAACTGCTGGCTGAAAGAAAATGTTTGTTTTTGTCAACACAACTCAAGTCTATTCTTTCTTTTCTTATGCTTCTAAATTACAAATAGTCCTAAAATGCCATTAGTGCACACAACACTTGAAATAAAGAACGTTTTAGAATCCACTTTCAGAATCTGTACTTTACTCAAAATGACTTGTTCATGGTTTTATTGCACCACCCTTCACATTCGGAGTAGTCTCCACGAGTTAAGAGACTAACATTTTCATTTCAGGTGTTATATATTAAGATGTTGCATTATTGAGGAGGTAATTTAAAGTTGGGTGGTCCGTGAGTGTTTGTTAAATGGGATAAGTGGTCCTCAGCCTGAAAACAGTTTGAGAAACACTGGTCTATGGGTTACACATAACATGTTCATCACATTTCTGCACAAACGTTTAACCTACATCGACAGATAATGCTGCTGGAATAATCAACCTAAAAGACGAGGAAAAGTGCTGCAGCTTCGTTTACCTGCTTGTTTGCCTTCAGGACAGTCCGCAGGGTTGCAATCTGCTCCCTCTTCGTGCTGAGAAGGGATTTGAGTTTCAGGACTTCCTCCAAAAGGCTTTCGGTGTCCCGCTCCGACTCCTCGCTGCTGCTGAGCCCAGAGTACGGCATCGCTCCCCTCTGACGGCAGAGATCCACAGCCACCTGAGTGGACACGCAGGGACAGAGAAAAGTGATTTAATGGATGTTTTTCTGCTTTGCTAAATTTCTTACACGTCTGCAACAGTTTAAAACAACAAACCACTTTATTATTTACAATATATTCAGCAACAACTTTCAAATTCCTAGCATAGAGTTGGGCGATATGGACTTTAAGTTTCATCATGATACTTTGTAGTGTTATAGTGATAAAGATAAATGTGGCAGCAAAAACTATTCATTACTTATTTAGGTAACTGTATGTCTGCGACTGTCCTTAACCAAATGCTACTCTTTAGAAACATACCCATCTGTAATGCACTTCTTTAGGCCACCAGTCACATAAAAAAATTAATTTATATCACTTAACTGCCCACAGTAAATTATTCTAATCATATTTTCAATTTTATTGATATTCTCATTGAACAAACTGTGGAGAAAATGGTAAAACTAACAATCCTGACAATATGGACAGTTTAAACATTAATTTGAACTTATCTCGACAAAGCTAACATGACACGATAAATGCCCTCCCTCAGTTGTAGAATTAATTTTTCGCTTCAGAGAAAGAACAAATGTAAGCTTTCCAGTGTTTCAAATAATGTTTGCTCAAAGGATTGTGTTTTCCTCAGGCCACAACCCTTAACTTTGACCCCTGATAATCCGATCCATTCAGACCAACACACAGGCACGTGTCGCCACAGCTCTGAACCGCTGCTGGATTTGAGAGGCACTCAAGAACATTTGCTGTCTGAACACAACGTCAGGTTCAAGGAAAACTGTACAGGGGAAAAGCTTTCACTCTGAATATCAGCCTGGCTTTTAGTAGCAGCCTGAAAATAAGATTTGGAAATTATTTATTCCTGTTTGTAAGAGGTGAGCTGGTGCTGCCACAAGGTTCAGTCCTGGGACTCCTCGTATTTACCATCTACATGCTACATTACAATGTCACCAGGTGACTACGAACTCATACAAGCACCAAAAAGATGATTAGGACAAATCAATGTGTGGATGTGACATAACTATCACCAGATGACCAGAAAAACTGAAGTTATTATCTGTGGACCTAAAGAAGAACGATCTAGAGTTAATGCAAAGCTTCAGCTATTACAGTAATTAACTAGAGATCATATCCGAACCTTCAGAGCCAAATAAAGACGGTTACAAAGTCAGCCTTCTATCACCTGAAGAACATTTCCAGGATTAAAGGTCTAATGTCTCAGAAAGATCTAGAGAAACTCATCTATGCGTTTATCTTTAGTCGCATTGATTCTGCAGCAGTGACCTCACAGGTCTGCTTGAAAAATCAGTCCTCAAGCTGCAGCTGATCCAGAACGCCACTGCTGGCATTCTGACTAAAATCAGGCATAGAGCGCATCATACCAGCTTTAAAGTCCTTCCGCTGGCTCCCTGTAGCTCAGAGAATAGACTTTTAAATGCTATTATTAGTTTATAAATCACTGAATGGCTCAGCACCAAAATACAGTAAAGATCTGCTGTTGTCATAGCAACCTTCCAGACCTCTCAGGTCTTCTGGTTCTGCTCTGAATCCCCAGAGCCAAACATGGAGAAGCAGCATTCAGCTTCTTTGCGCCACAAATCAAGAAATCTGCAAAACAGCTGAAACACTGAGTTCCTCTAAATCAACCAGTTTAGAGCTGGCTTTGAATCATAGTAACTGGATCAATACATTTTATGTACATCTACTTAATGATTTTAATATGCATATTACTTGTTTCATAATTGATGGCTGATGTTTTTATGATGTAAAGAACTTTGAACTGCCTTGTTGCTGAAATGTGTCTCAGACACCGCCCTCTTACCCTGAGGTGCTTGATCTGGCAACGGATGACAGCAACCAGGTTGGACACATTGGACGGGTCCCTGAAATCCAGAGTGGGGGATCCGGGACAGGTCAGCGAGTCTGCGCTGGATCCCGCGCTGTCCACCTCGCCCATGAACTGCAGCGCCGCAGCTTTGGAGATGAACATGTCGTTTGCCCGAGGCTTCTTCTGAGCGTTGTGTTGGGCGAAGATGTGGTGTGACCTTCGCACTCCTCCTCCGCCACCACCCCTAGCGTTGTCCCGGTAGTAGTCCAGAGTGACCCGTTTGGGTGTAATGTTGTTGCACACACAGATGTGGTGGTAGAGGTTGGACAGCTCCTCGGAGAAAGCCAACAGCTCCTCCTGAGCGACGCTCAGATGCCCTTCAGAGTCGGTCGCCACTTTCCGCGTGGCTCCGATCTCCTTCTCCAGCTCGCCGATGCGCTCCTGATCCTGCTTGCTGGACTTGATGCACTGCCGGATCTTGTCGGCCAGCTCCTGGGCCTCGCCCCGCCATCGCTCCTTCTCCTGCTTGTATCTCTGCTCGAGGGTGTTGTACCGCGCACCCGCCTGAGAGAGTTCGTCTCTCAGCTTCAGGAGCTCTTCGCTGGCCGCGCGCATTCGTGCTTCCAGCACCTCTTTGCTCTTAGTGTCCACCTCGTAGTCGAAGCCTTCACTGCCATCCTCTCCAGTTTCCACCTTCTGCCTCTCCTCTGCCTCCGGGTTTGGATGCGGACGACTTTGCGCTGCTTCCAGCTGCTGAGTGAGAGCGCCAACCTTGTCCTCCTGCTGACTTAGAGCCTGTTTGGACATCATCAGCTGCATCTGCAGTTCCTCCACTTTGCTACCCAGGCTGGATTTCTCCCTTTCTGCCTGAAAATACACACACACGTACACAAAAAAAAAAAATTTAAAAAATATGTAAATTAGGAAAGCAAGTAATCAATTAATGAGTCATTTTAAAGTTGATTTATCTCATTGATCAAGTAATCAATAGAGGAGAGGCGTCTTTCCATATCAAAGGGCTATTTTCATATTTTCATATTTTCATATATTTTTATTAAAATTTTCATATTGTACTGAATTAAAAAAATAAATTTTACCATTATTTTGTGTCACCTCTATTAAATACTGACTGAATAAACAGAAGATTGTGGCTCTTACATTACTAAACTTAGACTTATTTTTAAAATGAAACAAAGCAGAAACCTCTCAGGTTGCTGAATAGAAAATTAAATTAAAAGATGAAAAGAATAAAATAATTGAAGCACTTAATCCCCCATTAACAGAGCTATTCATATATTAGTACCGTCTCTGGTGCCTTTGAAGGGATGTTAAAACTTCGCTCCATAAAATGCATTAACTAATCCACGCTTACTGGCGCCATGTTTTCTTCCGTCACGTTACAAATTCCCTCTCCCTCCGCTTTTCTGTCAACATATCCTCGGCTTCGTAGCACATCAATAATTGTTTAATGAGAAGCTAACGCGTTCTGCTGAATGAGTGCTGTTAAACTTAAAAGAACCGCATAAAGTGCATTTTATATCCCACACCGGACTCAGTTTGGACCGTTTCTATTTCCCGCTATGCTATGGATCCGCCATCTTTGTTTCTATATCTACGGCTCCGCTTCAGGATAACCAGCGGCGCCCTCTGCTGGATGGCGGCTAAACTACAACACTGAAAGAAGATCTAAGCTAACGTTATCAGTAAAAAAAAAAAAAAGAAACCTCTAACCATTCCTAGTTTTCATTCAGATAATTCGAACTGACTGTATTTATTTTACGAGAATGAAAAGACGATTTCTCAGACTTCCCCTCCCTCTTCCTCTTGATGCATTTTTAATGTAACCACATGCAGATCCAGAGACCAAACATCTGCTAGACAGGAGCTTTTAAACCCAACCCCCCAACTTAAGTGCATCATACATAATGTATTTCCTCTAAACAAAGAGAAGGGACAACTCGATATGTTCTTAATTATTCGAGACACATTCTCTTAGAAGGAAGCTGCGTTGACAATAACTAGGAGTGGACTAAAATTTCCCAGTGAAGCAGTTGTTGCGCAACAATGCTTATCCTGCAGCAATACGGAGCGGATGTGGTTTCCAACAGGAAGTGCCAGCTAACAGCTTAGTCACACAGAACAAATGGTGCTGAAATTTCCTCACTTGGAACAATAATGGATGTTAGTATTAAACTGAACCTGAGCAGACAAAGAGGAGTTTCATCTAAAATCTACAGATATATGAGATTAGTGATTTGGTTTGCTAGAAACAACAAGAGCAGGCTAATATTTAGACACAATTACTCATTTAAGATGAATGAACAGGTGTGATTTTATGTCAAAGTAACATGCTCTGTCCTAGAGTATGATAGTGTGAAAAATATTGGATCCCCTTACAGATTTCCTTTTTTTTATTGTCATGCAAATATTTTAGATGAAACGCATTTTAATTTCAGGCAAAGATAATCTGAGCAAAAACTACATTTTAAAAAGATAAAAAGAAAAACCAACAACAGAAACATTACTCAACCAAATCCTAATTTAGCATTTTTCTTTAAATGCGCTGTATTTTGTACTTTCAGGCATAGTGCCATTTTATCGCTCAATCAAGTATCTATTATTTTAAGCTAGTGTAAAAATTCTGCATAAACCAGATATGACTTACAAGTAATTTAATGCAATTTATTGTGCTAAAATTGGGCCCCTGTCTCTTTAAGAAGCTCCTGCTCTTTCCAACACTCCACCTTCGGCACGTCGCCACAACAATGCTCCTCCATGATGCCGTTTACAACTGTTCTTTGGAGCTCAGTGACAATAAGAAATATGAATTGTTTCTTTTTTTAGGTAACTCTATGGCTTTAACTGTGTGTCACAGCAATTATAGCCCCACAAACACAAATTCTGCTCTTGAAAAAACATTTGAATGTCCCAAATACGCTTATTTAGGACACCAGGGACATAAAGAGGTAAATTATTATAATAGGAAATTTATCATGAAGCAAGATAAACGATACAAGAAACGCCCACCCCTAGTTCCACCAGGTGTTTACTAACTAATGCTGCTGCTAGTCTGCAGGAGCTGAGTGGGGAAGGCACAGTGGGGGGTTTTCTGTGGGCTGGAAGCTCCAAGAAGGAACTCAGTGGAAATAACTTTGTGAGAGCAACCGTTCAGGCACCCAGGGTTTCCCCCAGTGTATTATAAGCCTGGCGGGCCACCAGGATTTACTTGTACCCCCACCAGGCTAAGCATTGCTTATTTATTTAAGTCTTTTTAAAATGTTTGTTTGGTTTTTTTAAGACGTTATAGTTGGTGTTTATCTTCCAGTCTTTTAATAAAACATAATTATCAAGTGATATTTTCAAATTTTCTGTCAACTTTAAACACTTTTTAACTCAAAAACACGACAAGTCGCTGGATGAATGACTGGCTACCGGGCTTAAAGATTTAAGGATTCCTCAAACATGAATGAACTTTTTTGATGAGGAAATGACAATATAGCATGACATAAAGCTCAAAAAAGTGGATTCTACACAATACTCCACCTCGGAAACTCAGTAGGAAAGTTATATCATTAAGGTAATATTTGTATGAGTAGTAAGGCTAGTTCTGTTGCATACCTGTAGCAGCTGCTGTTTTAGTTTCTGACTGTCTGAAAAGTGCAGCTCACTCAGCAGGTCAGACACCAGGCCTGAGGCTGGAGCGCGCAGGAAAACGTCACTGTTGCGCGGCGTGGAGTACCGTAGGCCGTTGCTTTTGGAGCTGGGCGCAGACGCAGACCCGTTGGTGTGACTGCTGTCCTGGTTCTCTTCCTGAGTGTCGCCCTCCCCGCTGCGGCCCTCCTCCTGGCTGTCGTCCAGCTGGTCCAAATGCAGCTCCAGGTTCCCCACGGAGTCGAACGGGTTGAGGGTCAGGGCGGAGAGCTCCCGCCGCAGACTGTTCTTCTGCTCCCGCTCCTCCTTCAGGGCTTCCAGGGCCTCATCCAGCTGCCGCTCCGCGATCTCCCTGAGCCTCGCGGCTTCTTCCAGCTGCGCTCGCAGCTCATCTTGCTCTTCGTTCTTCTGGGATAGCTCAAGCTTTATTGATTCAAACTCCACCTAAAAGCAGAGAATGAATGCATTTTCTTTAAATAGAGATACAATTTCACCCAACCATAAATTATCATATTTCTTCTTACTATTACCTTAAAAAACATTACAAACTTCACTCTTTTCAGGCTCCGACAGACAGACACAAAGGTAAACAGACTTATGTACGGACGGTAAACAACATGTAAACAAGATTTAAGGATGCAGAAATGGAAAAATGGACAAACTAATACGCGTTTGGCAAGCAAGTGGAAAAAGAGACAAATAAATGAATTAATTTATGTCTAACTGGGCGGACGAACAGACAAATGGACAGGTAGAACTTCAGACAATTAGATTTAGGAATACAATCTGGAAATTTAAGCATTTTCTCAAACTCCGTGTCTGTTTTCCAGATCTTTTAAATGCCAGGGAAATGTTCCCCGCCGCTGGAATTTACAGCTTTTGGCAGACTGCTTAGAGAGCTCCTTCCTTGTTGGCAAAATGTGTGGCTAAGATGAAACTTATGAGAAGACATATCTTATTGTAGCAACACTTAGACGTGTGCAGTGGCTGGTTCATCCAGTTTATTTAAAACAGAACTAAGGGAGCAAGGACAGATAAACCGAACTCTACCAGGTGGAAATCCTGTAAGGTTGTGTAAACACATCATCAGGCTATTTAAAGCAAACCCACATCTTTACCTGTATAAATAAACGCCAAACACATTTTACATGTTATCTGCAATCTTGCTGAGCTGTTGTAGGACAGAGCTGTAGCTGGCTCTGACCTAGCAGCTAACTGTTCAGCAGCAAACGATTGTTTCAGTAATCGATTATTCAGACAATCGGATTAAAAATTTGTCATATTCCACAGGCTTCTCATTTAACCACTTAAGCCTTTTTGATACAATATTAAAAATACATTAAAATATACAAATAAAATAAATTGCTTTTTAAGTAAGAAAGTAAGCATTTTATTGCCAATAATACAATAACATGGCATTCCTTTAGTGTATGCTTGATAACTTGTAGATTAATTGACTTATTTTTGGAGCAACCAACTAATAATTGGATAACAAAAGGTGCTTAAAAGGAGATTTTCTTGTTTACAGAACTTTAATCAGGTAAATATGTTCTAGATGGAACATTACATAGAACATTATATAGAACATATTTACAAAACGTTGTGTTTTTTTTTTTACTTAAATGCAAAATGTATGTATATATTTTTTCTGTGTGTTGTTCTTTCAGCAAATGGCCTGTTTTGAGTTGGTGTACTGCAGTTAACAATTAATTAATAAATAAATTAGCTGACAATTATTTAAATGATTGAATAATTGTGATTAATCAGTTTAGCCCCAACGAAATGCACACTCTGAGCAGATGGCATCAGTCCAGCAGCTTCTGCCCCACGGTTACCAACGGCAACAGGGGAAAAAAAGGGGGAGGAGCCGGCAGTTACTGGTCGCTACGGCAACCACCAACTGCCAAGAGCAACATAACAGAACTTAAAACACCAATAAATGTGAAACAACTTCTTGACTAAACAAAATGAATTCAAAGGACAAACAAACAAATTTTGACAAATTTCACATGTATTGTATTGTTAGAATAAAATCCTGTTACATACACACAATTAACACAAACTCAACAGGCAATGGGGGGGGGGAATGGCCAAATGACAACTGACCTGGTTTTCCTTTAGCACAGACACTTGTTTCTGTAAGGAGATATTTTCCTCCTCCAGCTCGCCGTTGTCCTGCAGCTGACGCAGCTCGCGTACTTTATATTCCTTCATTTCATCCCTCAAGTGGTTCTTCTCCGCTTCCAGACATTCGCATTCCTACAGAACACAGCAAAACTTTCAATTCAGACTGGAAAGTTGACAAATTGATTAATTAACTGAATACAAGAGGCCCCAACAGGACTGATTGGTGGATACACAGCGTACCTTCTTCAGCTGGTTGGAGAGCCCCCCCAGCCTGTCGAGCTCGGCATGGGCGTTGCCCAGAGCAAGACGCGTCTGTTTGAGCTCAGCCTGAACTTCCTCCATCCGGGTTGCCATGGCAGCCTCTTTGGAGGCCGTCTCCTGCAGCAGGCTCTCTTCCCGACACTCTCCATCAGCAGCTGCACGCTTCTGGCTGCTCACAGAATCTGCAAAAGCCTTTACACAAACAATAGAAGTGAAAAATGGAGGGAAAACGTGAAGTATCTCACAAGCATCTGTGTGGAAAAAGTCACTGAGTTGATGGATGAATCAACGACAACTCAAAGTTATCCTAGATTCATAAAAAGGATAGGAATAAATGCAGACTTTAATCGTCATGTTCCTAACTATATTGTTCCAGAAACACAGTAAAAGCCTAATGCTTGGCTTATAGCTGCATAATGCAGCTTTCCATAATCAGGAAGCAGAACACTGATGGCTACTGATGAAATAAACGCTGAAAAGTGTTTCACTGAAAAGCGCTTTGTTGTTACATAATAATGCTAATTGGAGGCACTAGCTCACACTGCTCTCCTTAAATCTTGAATATCCAAGAAATTGTGTTGAAGCCGATTATGAAAGAATTAAAATTCTGTAAGCCTGTGACCCTTCAGAAAGAGCTTCTCCTAACATGGAGCCTGAAAAATACCTTTGTGCTTCTCTGCAACATTTATTACCAAGTAGGGCTTCAACTAATGATTATTCAAATTATCGATTAATCGATTATCCTGACGATTAATCACATAAAAATAAATTGTAAAAATTCTCCTACAATTGTTAATTCAATAATCTGATTAGTTTTTGGATCAACCAATTAATAAAAGGATAGTGAAAGGAGGTTAACAGGAGATTTTTCTTTATGCAGAATTTGAACCAGGTGAAGAAAAATCTGACATTTGAGAACTTTTAGGTATAAGATATCTGCAGACAAAGGTTTGTTTTTGTTTATCTTGAATGCAAAATGTATGCATGTCAGGGTTTCCACCAGTGCATTATAAGCCTGGCGGGCCACCAGGCTTTACTTGTGCCCCCACCAGGCTAAGCATTGCTTATTTATTTAGGTGTTTTTAAAATGTTTGCATTTTTAAAGACTTTACAGTTGATGTTCAGGTATTAATCTTCTAATAATACATAATTATCAAGTGATATTTTCAAATTTCTTGTTAACTTTAAACATTTTTAACTCAAAAATACAACAGGCTGCCCTTGCGCCCAACCACCAGGCTTAGCAAGTTTTCCTGAATTTTTTATTTATTTATTTTTTGCAGTTTTGGCCCATTTACTACTCTGGGTATAATATTCATTTAGCAAATGGCCTGTTTTAGGCTCTGTATAAAATCCAGTTAATTAAATGATTACTATATCAGTTGACGATTATATAAAAGAAAATCAATTCATCACGATTAATCGTTTCAGCCCTATGACAGTCTTGAAAGCCTTTCAGCAAAAGCTTGACTCTTAAATTTCTTCACTTTAATAAAATTAATTTATAACAATATAAACAACAACATGATGAGGTTTCCTCTTCATATAGCTTACAGTATGTTGATCTCCCTCACATCCTAGTGCTTCAGATTATTTCTGAACTCAAGGGTCTAAAATATACACATTACTAAAATGCATTAGGAATGGCTGTTCAAATAGTTGGGATTGGCCCTTTTAAATCAATGGTACTGAAGTCCAGATGAAACTTAACTCCCACACCCAGTTGTCTGGGATTCTGTTGGCCGCACCCCCAGTGTGTTATGTACGACGGGTAGTGGACATTTTCTAACAACCACTGCCTGTTTTCTTTTGCACATAAAGTAAAATTGGATTTTCAGCTAGGTTAATTTAATGAAACTTAGTTTTTGCCCAAAGAAATTAAGTATTTGTTCCCCCCTACTATTCATATTGATGGGAATATGCCAACTTGTCAACAAATCACATCAAAACCAGAGTAAAATCCAGAGGAAGCCATTTTTAGTAGGAGCAAAACACTAATGGTCTGTTCTGTTCGCTCTACGAAGCAAGATTTTCTGAGTTTCCAGTCGGAAAAACAACCAACAGGAATGCCACTAGAGTTCAGGATTCCTCCTGGGGAAGTCAGAGCTCACAGGGAGACACAGAGTTTACTGTTTGCATCTGATTAAACCCAGAAAGCTGTACAATGTGTTTCTGAACAAAAGGTGGACATCCTGATAATCCGATCCTCGTGATGCCTCAAACACTACATGATAAAATTTAATTTCCTTTTAGGCCACAAACGAAGCCAAGCTTTTATTTTAGTGGAATAATTATTAAAATGTAATTAATACAAATTTAAATATATGCCTCATACAGCTGCAAATATAAAGAGGAAAAAGATGAATTTTTAAACGGCTGAGAAACGCTGCGAACCGCTCCTCAGCTGTGAAAATTCAAATTATCAGTAGAAGCAGTGAGATAGCACCGTTATGTTATTTGCATTTCTGCCAACATTGTAGAATTAAGCTATCCAGTTGGCTTAAGTTATAGTTATATCACACAACAATATTTATAAATGGAGGATTACAGACTTTTGAGTCTGGGATTAAAAGGTCATGGAAGCACATCGCTGTAAATCTATCACACATGCTGGATCAAATGATTATGTCATCATTGCAAAAAATTCACCGTTTTAGTTAAGAGTTTGTTGAAGACTGTATCATTTAAAACACTGACGGCGAACACATTCGTCTTACCTCTCTGAGCTGCTGCAGCTCCAGCTTTAGGGATTCGTATTCCTCTTCCAGCTGCGTGTGTTTCATCTTGAGGGCGGCGCTCTCTTCCAACACCACCAGCCCGTACCGAGCGGCCTGCAGCTTTTCCTCCGTCGCCTCTTGGAGCTCCAGCGTGAGCCGCATCACCTCGGCCTTCAAGTCTCTGCCGCCCATGTCTGCTTCCACGTCCTCCTCGACCTCGCCACCCGCCGGGTCGGCATCCGTCTCCAACATCTTTACCCGGCCTCGCGCTTATCTGCCGACGATCCGCTGCCACTACCTCACTCCTCCACCCTCATAACCACCGCCCTGCAAACGAGAGGCACAGCATTGACACTTTGGATGATTCTGCTGCCAACAACGCTAGACGGGCTTTCGCAAATTGTCTGTAAACAGCCCGCCAAGCTATCCGCAAATGTAGGTTAGAGCTCTGCCATGCAAAGAAGAAATCATATGCGAACGCTGCAGTCCTCGTTGAGACAAAGTTGATTTAAAAAGGACTGAGTTTGAGTAGAAACGTGTTGTCTGGTCAGGTAAATCAAAATAAATTACAATAAAAAATGCCTGCATATCTGGTGGTACACATCATAAAAGGTAACATTAGTTGCGCCATGGTTTTACAGTTCATTAGTTGGGTTTCAAGGAGTTTTCTCCACTATAAACTCATAGTAAGCAGGAATAAATCAACCACATGATAAATTAAAACACACTTGATAATTTCCATTTGCATGACTGATTGTTTCTCTCACTTTCTATCAAAGACGAAAGGCTCCAGTCTGGTGCATTGGTCTCAACGTTTTCCCGTTTTGGGGTAAAATTGTGTTTCAGTATCCATTTCATTTGTTGTTTTGTTTATTTATTTCAGATGTATACAATTTCCTCCAGTTCTAGTGTTAAATGTTTGCTAGAAATTCAAAGTTTGTCGATCTTTGAGAGGGTGTACTTGCATTATTACGACATTACCATTATGTTATTTGAAAATTGTCTCAAAACAACAATATTATCATTTAACATAATTTCTGGGATAATTTCACATCCAGCAAAATGTATTATTGTGACAGACAGTTATTAAAAACAAATTTTAAACTTCAAAATTAGTACCAAATAAGCTACATTTTATTACCTGCAAGTCACAAGTTATGTAATTTGTAATTTGCAAATAATTTCATTAGGTTTTTATGTATAGCTTACTCAACTTTACTAGAATAGCAAACATTAACATTGTTAATAGTTGAGTTAGAAATTGTTTTAACTTGAACCTCTGCTTGGTGAGGCTAAAGTCTGAAATTACCAAACTGTACGCATTTCATGTGCATCTCATGTTTCAGTGCTGACTCTGCTTATGCTCTCATGTAAAACTGAAGGGTTTGCGTTCAGAGACAACACATTAGACTCGTTCAAATTATTTAAAGCTCGGCATGAATGACTCCTGTGATCATCAGCGACAGACAGAAACTGGATCCCATTATTGCAGTGAGATGGCTGAGCTCAATCCTCTCGCATCTGCCAGACTTTGGCTTCCAAACTATAGAATTACAGATGCCAGCTACATAACAAAATACTATTTTTTTTAAAGAAACAACAACGTGGATTTATGTTCCTTTGACGTGGGGAGTCGTCGACACCCTTTAACCGAAGATGGATACATCAGCTGCCCCGGTTGTTGTCCAGCGCCCAGATGATGTAGTTAGTTAGTCATCCTGAAAGCATCTGACGCTACCAGCTCACGAAGCAGACTCTCTTAGCATCAAGTACAAGAATTCAATCGTATATTACGTATTTTCTTAGACTAACCTGTTATATAAATGATAAGAGATCGCCTGACAGGGACGCAGAACCGAACACGACACCGGTACAGAGAAACAGGACACTGACCAGACTGCTAGCATCGGTAGCTTAGCTTAATGTGATGTACACAGCAAATGAAGCCATAATGTAGACTTACTAGAAGAGTTAGGAGATCAAGCATCTAAATCTGATACGTTTTCAAAGCAGATGACTAACCAAAGTAAACAGAGATCTCTCTCTCGCTCTCTCTCTCTAGAATCCTATCAGACGAGCTAATTAGCCCGGACAGTCAGCCATCAGCAGCCAAACTACGTACTCACCTCGCTGTTTTATTTCAACGATGGAGCTCGCTTGCCGCCACAAATCCGCCACCTTGCTCCTTCCAGAGGAGCGCTCAGCAACAGCGGTCTCCTGATCACGTTAGTTAGCGGCGGTACCAGGTTTGGTTTAGCGAACAGCCGCTCCCCTTCCTCCCAACCCACCTGCTTCCCTCGTTTCGCGGAGGGGTCGAGTGTCAAACGCGCGCTGAAAACGTGAAGGCACAGGGGCGCCCTCTTATGTACCACCATGGTACTGCAGATTAAACCACAGCGCTATGGGGTGTTTGTATCTGTGATCGGTTCCGAAATTGAGTAAACGCACTTGACCTTTTAATGTTTAATGTACACAAAGTGCACGTTTATTTGTATAGTTACTTTTAGGAGTGGTTTGATTTTTCTGTTGACTTCGTTAACTAATTAACTTAACTCATATTTCTTATTTTAGTCTTTAAAATATTTTTCACAATGTTTCATATTTATCTCTTTTTAAAAATATTAAATATTTTAGACAATTCAGTTCTTGTGTAGTCTTTTTATGAAATTACTTAGTGTGATCAGGTGTGTCATCGTTCAAAGCTCTAATATGTTATTCTACAATGACAAAACATTGAAATTGTAATGTTTTCTCTTCTTTTTTGATTTAACCATCAAATTATTTGAGTTAATCTTAGAGTTAGACTGTTTAGGCTTAGACTACAATATTCTAAAAGGCTTGTCAGTTTCTTTTAAGCACACACTGATTTTTTGTAACTCATCTATGTCAAGAAGGATTGAAATAATACTTTTTTGTGTCTTAAAAAAATAATCGTTTTCCAAATACCAATCTCAACTTTAAAGATCCCTTGAGTGCTATGAAATTATTCAGCCGAGCTCTGACCATTATGAGTAACTTAGATTTTGATCCAGAGCAGATTGAAGTTTGCATGTTCTTTAAATAAATTAAATAGCCGTTTACTGACTCTACAGCTAAAGCTAAGAATCTAACGTCAACCTCGGCGTCGTGCTTATTACCGTCTCTATCCAAAAATATATCATGTATAATTCATAAATATTAAACAGAAGCACCTTGAAATCAATAATAATTACGTTTTAATAATATGATAATAAAAAAATAAAAAAGCAAAAGTAGACTTCCGCTTGCGTCGGCCCCAACATCCGGTTTACTTCCGGCTTTTCACAGTGGGTTTTTGCCGCTCTCTAGTTTAAGTCTGAAACCATGAAGCTCGTCACATGGAATATTAACGGCATTAGGACGTTTAAAAGCGGAATAAAAAAGGCTCTTGATAGCCTGGACGCAGATATAATTTGTGTCCAGGAGACAAAAGTCACAAGTAAGTGTTAAAAACAGAGAAGCTACAGCCCATTGTGCTCCAATCAGAGCGCTGTTATGAAAAACAATAAAAGGTTAAACCCATTTATGCTTTTTAGGAGACCTGCTGGATGAACGGACGGCTATTGTTGACGGCTACAACTCGTATTTCAGCTACAGTCGAGGACGCAGCGGTTATTCAGGTTTACAACGCATCTATTCTACATTCCCAGCCATAAAAATCACACAAACTATGATAAAGATTTGCTGTTTATTTAAAGATAGGTCCTGCAGAACAAGGAAGTTCATGACCTTATGTCAACACCTTTTTCCCATGCCTGGTGTTCACAGGTGTTGCGACTTACTGCAGGGATAATGCCACTCCTTCTGCTGCTGAGGAGGGACTCACAGGTCTGCTCACCAACCATGAAGGAGCGGTTGGATGCTATGGTGACCACCGTGACTTTTCAAGTGAGGAGCTGCAGCTTTTGGACAATGAGGGGCGAGCCGTCATCACGCAGCACAAAATAATGTAAGATTAAAATATAAAAAATAAATACAATTCTGCACAGTGGTGCAGTTGGTAGCACTGTTGCCTCGCAGCAAGAAGGTCGTGGGTTTGAATCCCGGCCCGGGATCTTTCTGCATGGAGTTTGTATGTTCTCCCTGTGGGTTCTCTCCGGGTACTCCGGCTTCCTCCCACAGTCCAAAAACATGACTGTCAGGTTGATTAGTCTCTCTAAATTCTCCCTAGGTGTGAGTGTGTGTGTGTGTGCATGGTTGTGTGTCCTGTCTGTCTCTGTGTTGCTCTGCGACAGACTGGTGACCTGTCCAGGGTGAACCGGCCTCTTGCCCAAAACGTTTGGAGACGGGCACCAGCACCCGTCCCGACCCCACTAGGGTCAAGGGTGTACAGAAAATGGATGGATGGATAAAAAATGTATTTGTTAGAATAGGGACTGAATTTGGTTTCTGCATTCAGATGTTTTGGTTATTAATTAATATTAACCACATCCCAATCTTTATTCTTCTAAAAACAACCCATCTGATTTTCGCAGTGTTTGCTAGATTTTTTTGTTTCCCATCCGCAGGTGTCAGGACACAGAGCAGACTGTTACTGTAATAAATGTCTACTGCCCACGCGCTGACCCAGACAAGCCGGAGCGAAAGCAGTTCAAGCTGCAGTTCTACAAGCTGCTTCAGTGTCGGGCAGAAGCGTTATTAAAAGGCGGGAGGTGAGTGTAGAATGAAGAGTCTGGCACAGGTGTTTCCTGCTTTTAACACAAACGTTTCAACTACAACACAAACTGCATTTCTTTTGATATTATTAATCTAAATGTTTGTCCATAAATAATTGGCTGCAGTTATTGATAGAAATAGTCTTGTTTCTACATTTTGTACATTTTGTCATGTTACAACCATAACCATTTATATTTTTATTTACATTGTTTTCAGTGTAAATAAACACTGCAGAGATCCACGGTGGGAGAATTTGAAAACGGTCATGTAAAACTAAAGATCTTAACTTGATGGAAAAGTGGCAAGAAAGAAATCTACAATTCGATTCAATTCAGCTTAATTATATAGCGCCAATTCACAACAAATTACGTTTTAAAGCACTTTACCAAAAAAAAAAAAAAATAATTTCAGTTCAATCACACATACATTCCAGTTGATCCTAGTTGTCAAGCAATAAATCAAGCTCTGTTTATCATTCAAAATTGCTTAAAAATCTTCTAAGGAAACTAGGCAAACCCAGCAGATTGCGTCATCATGGACTTTCATTGACCTAGTTGCATAATAATTCCCATTTGCAGCTTTCACTAGCCATGCAGAGGAGAATCATGAGAGGAGATGTGGCCAGATTTTACCATAATTTAACTTTTTGACCTACATTTAAAAAGCTATTTGTGATATATTACCAACACGGCACCCTGAAAATGCCATACCCACAGTGAAGCATGGTGGTGGAAGCATCATTATTTTTCAAACATTCATGAGTTATAAAACCAAAGTCCAGACCTAAATTCATAGAAAATCTCCATTTAATCTGAGGTGAATAGTCAAAAAGTTCTGCTTTTAGTTGTGCAAACTGGTAGAGAAATCCTCCAGAAGCATTGCTGCTGTACTTAATTAATTTTCCACTTCCTGTTGCTCTGTTACAGAAAATCCTAATGAAATACTTTGAACTTTGTGGTTGTAATCTGACAAAATGTTTACATTTTAGCTCTGCTATTGCTCTGCTTCTTTCTACCAAATTTCTAAACTGTATTTTCTGTTCTCCAGCCATGTCATCATTTTAGGAGATGTGAATACTTCTCATCAGCAGATAGACCACTGTGACCCAAGTGATATGGTAAGTAGAAGCTTTAAAAACTGCTGTGATGGAAGTACATTTTTAAACTACTATAATATTATTTGTCAAAGACTCAAGAGAAAGCCTACAGCCTTTAAAATCACACCACTCCATTTTATTTACATTTCATGAAGAAGGAAGTTGTGCTCTTGTCTTCTACGGAGGTTTTCATGTCGTTTCCTTCAGTAGTTCTTGGTGCAGCGTCACCACAGGCGAGGAGGGGAACAGGTTTTTCATAAGGTTCTGTTCGTTTGATACAGTGGACTATAAAAGCAAACCCCACCTTATGAAAGTGTAACAAATGTTGCAATTTTGGTCTCAGTCAAACCAAGTTTACCAGACTATCAAGTGTGAGAAGATCCGTGCTTTGACATTCAATCAATCGATCAGTAAATTTGTTTGTTAGCACATTTCAGTAACAAGACAGTTAAAAGTTCTTTACATCATAGAAACAAAAAATATAAAGTTCTGAGAGGTCTGGAAGGTTGATACAACAACAGCAGATCTTTAATGTATTCTGCTGCTGAGCTGTTCAGTTATTAATAAAATAACAGCAGTATGTTAAAGTCTATTCTCTGAGCTACAGGAAGCCAGCATAGAGACTTTAGAACTGGGATGATGAGCTCTGTCTTCCTGGTTTTAGTCGGAACGCGAGCAGCAGCGATTTGGATCACCTGTCTGATTTTTCAGGCAGACCTGTGAGGACACTGTTGCAGTAATCGATGCGACTAAAGATAAATGCATGGATGAATTTCTCTAGATCTTGCTGAGACATTAGTCCTCTAATTCTGAAAATGTTCTTCGGGTGACAGAAGGCTGACTTTGTAACCGTCTTTATGTGGCTCTGAAGGTTCTGGTATATTGTGCAAACACATTTTTATGCCACAGATGAGCAAACTGCCACAACTTCTGCATATGCAGCATATAGGTGTGGGAACATGTCATTGAATCATATGATGACCTTTTTGCTACTTCCCCTCTGAAGTGTTATGAAATCAGCAACGACACACACCACTTTTTCATTTTGACTTGGTCTTTGTTCTGTTCTTGAGGTTAGATTTAAATGATCAGAATCATAAATTCCTGGAATAGAAAGAGGTTGCACCTTCTTTTCGACAGTACTCTACTTGTTCTTGCTCAATAACTAAATGTTTTTCTTATATTTCTCAGGAGGATTTTGCTGAGAATCCTGGGAGGAAATGGCTGAATAGCTTTTTGTACAGTAGTGCCAAAGAAGAGAAAGAGGAGGAACATCTTAAAGAATCAGAGACAACAAATTGTGTCCAAATGGGAAAATTTATAGACATCTTCCGCTACTTTCACCCAACTCGTACCAACGCCTTCACCTGTTGGTCCACTCTCACTGGAGCCCGACAGACTAACTACGGCACGCGTATTGATTATATATTTGCAGACCACCGGCTGGCCCAGGAGCAGTTTTCGGGGGCAGACATTATGCCGGAGGTGGAGGGCTCCGATCACTGTCCCGTTTGGGCGCACCTGAAATGTTCGCTTCTTCCCTGCTCCAAACCTCCTCCCCTCTGCACTCGCTACCT